TCTTCCTCCTCCTCTTCCTCCTCCTCTTCCTCCTCCTCTTCCTCCTCCTCTTCCTCCTCCTCTTCCTCCTCCTCTTCCTCCTCCTCTTCCTCCTCCTCTTCCTCCTCCTCTTCCTCCTCCTCTTCCTCCTCCTCTTCCTCCTCCTCTTCCTCCTCCTCTTCCTCCTCCTCTTCCTCCTCCTCTTCCTCCTCCTCTTCCTCCTCCTCTTCCTCCTCCTCTTCCTCCTCCTCGCCCTCCTCCCTGCCCTCCTCCCTGCCTTCCTCTTCCTCCTCGCCCTCCTCCTCTTCCTCCTCCTCTTCCTCCTCCTCTTCCTCCTCCTCTTCCTCCTCCTCTTCCTCCTCCTCTTCCTCCTCCTCTTCCTCCTCCCTCCCCTCCTCCCCGCCTTCCTCTTCCTCCTCCCCCTCCTCCTCTTCCTCCTCCTCCCCCCTCTCGAGGAAGACTGAGATCCCTGAGTGCACTAAAGGCTGATAGGCACTGGGGCCTATTGCTGCACTCAGACTCCTCTTCCTCCTCGTCCTCCTCCTCTTCCTCCTCCTTACCCTCCTCCTTGCCCTCCTCGCCTTCCTCCTCCTTGCCCTCCTCGCCTTCCTCTTCCTCCTCCTCCTCGCCTTCCTCTTCCTCCTCCTCCTCGCCTTCCTCTTCCTCCTCCTCTTCCTCCTCGCCATTCTCGCCTTGCTCGCTGCTCTCCTCCTCCTCACCTTCCTCTGCCTCCTCCGCCTCCTTGTCACCCTCCTCTTCATCACTCTCCTTGCCCTCCTCCTCCTTCTCCCCCTCCTCGTCTTCACCCTCCTCGCCCTCGCTGTCATCATCTTCACCCGCATCGTCCTCTCCTTCCTGCCCCTCCTCCTCCTCCTCGCTCTCCTCGTTGTCACCATCGCCCTCCTCGCGCTCTTCCTCGCCCTTCTCATCCTCTCCCTCATCCTTGTCCTCACCGTCATCATCCTCCCTCTCACTCTCATCCTCCCTCTTCTTCTCCTCGCCTTCCTCCTCCTCCTCCTCTTCACCCCCGCCCTCACCGTAGCCTTCCTCATGCTCCTCTTCACCCTCACCTTCCTCCTCCTCCTCCCCCCACCCAACACTGGAAACGCCAAACACTACTGACACGGGGACCCTCCCCCGCACCCTCCCGGACGCCTGGGCCCCTCCCGGACATCGGGCCCCTCCCGGACGACTGGGACCCTCCTCGGATACCTGCGACCCTCCCGGACGCCTGGGTCCCTTCCTGGGCACCTGGGCCCCTCCCCGGACGCCTGGGACCACTCGGACGCCTGGGCCCCTCCCCGGACGCCTGGGACCACTCGGACGCCTGGGTCCCTCCCCGGACGCCTGGGCCCCTCCAACTCGGGCTGTC